GTAATAGACATCATATTTTTTAACATGATTAATTATCGAATACAGAAAGAGGATCAAATGGGATCAGTGACTATACCATCCAAACATTTGAAAATCTGAAAAAGCCTACACTGCGGGGATACTTTACTACAATCAGACAAGAACTACCGGGGATATTTTCAAATAACGGCATATGATGGGCATACACCTTTCTTAATGTCCCGCTGATTAGGTTGAAGAAATTCTGTCAAGATGGACAGTAGCCCAAGTCCCCGTGTCCGTCCCGGTCGTAATTAGACTGTTGGCTGGAAACATAATCGCTCTGGATTAGTGGCCCTTTAAGTGTTTGTTTTGTTTGATATTTTGTGGACAACTCAAAAATATTCCTAAGTAATATTTTAACTTTTATATGAACAGTTGGCTTGTACTATAACATTTATATAAACATGCCGGCCTTTGATTTACCAAAATCTAAAATGATGTTTACATAAACCTACACATAACATGGTACATGACGTTATGAACATCGATCCAAGCAAGTGGGATACGATCTCAAGTACGTGAGAACACGTACGTTCCCTCTTATGGCAGCATGGGTTGCTGAAGAGTAATTCGTAAAATATGGTAATGAATGGTAATGAATATTTGCAGAGTCAGTCTCGTGATACGGACTGTGGGCCATCCACCAATACTGTTATAGACAAAACACTGTACGTCGCCAATATCAACTGGTGTCTGCATGACTTGTACTTCACAAAATGAATTTTCAATTTATATATAATCACTATCAGCTATTCCAAACACGCACAGTAGTAGGTAAAGACATTGACAGACGTGTATGATGAATTACAAATAGAAGTACATAGCCTTATATCGGTACATACATATTGACATACCCAGATGAACCCTACCAAGTCGGCTGTTGTCAACGGCATTGTTCCACCAGAGATTACGAGGTTACCAGCTGTGATCGGCAAAGTGAGTGTTAAATGAAGGAAAGCTTATGCTTACCCAGATCTGTGTTTCCTGCAAAATTCTCATTGACTAGTCTCTGAAATCTGACTCGTAATTTGTGTTTTAGTGACAGGAGTGAATATATATCTTCATTGCAAAATACGAATACTATTATTACGAGAAGAGTTTTAGAAATGCGTTTTCCGCCTTTTACGAGCCACATCCGCTCTGCATCGCTGGGGCCTCATCATGTCAGTAGTCTGTGTCACAGTCCAACCCTTTCTACAATGCAAATGTCCAAATTGAAGCAAGTCTAGTCGCCCACTGGTCCGGCATAAACGGAATTATTTATTTCTCTCAAAATTTCCTATTTTCCGAGATTAGCGCTTTGTATAACGTGGCAGGATCCTGTTTGTACGGATCGAAACATGCCAGAGATGAGCTTAATGGTTTTTCAAGACCATACCTATTTTTCTTAATTTCTCCTTCATTAGACAACTGTTGATAGATCGAATATCAAACGTGTTCGCAGTGTGGCCTCTATGTGGTATGTGTTTTTGGGGGGTGTGTTTATTATTTCAGGTGCGTGCGTGCGTGTGTGCGTGCGTGTGTGTGTGTGTTTTCTTTTTGTATTGATTTTCAATGAGTGGGGGCTATTAAGATGAAAGCCATCTGTGCAGTACAAATCGATTATTTTCTGAGTAACACAGAAGTAGCAGAAAAGTGAAACAATACTGTGTGTATGTACATGTGAGTAATGTAGCTTTAACCAGGTTTGGAACACAAGTATTTGGACAGATCTTTTGTGTTTGATTGAATGCGGGAATTATGTATTCAAGAACTGCATTGAATAATGTGAAACAAGTCGCAAATTGTAATGTTGTCAGTTAACACCCGATACACCAGAGTGATAACATCTTGCATAACCTAAACAACAATCAAACCGGGATGTAAATGGCACTCAACATTCTAGGCCCGTACGTTCGATCACAACACTACGCTTTTGTTTTACAGCTTCTTATCTCTAAACATGTTGAAGTCAAAACTAATTTAAATTCTAATCGTAGTTTAAAGAATAAGACTTAGCATACCAAAGTATCTTAACTATGGCAACGCTAAGATGTTTCACCTTTGCTTCTGAAAGAGATAAAGAGAGTACTGAATATACGATGCTAGGTATGACTGTACAACCATAGATGATACGGTCTTCCATAAATCTGCATAATCACTAATCACAGAATGGACTGGTTGTTAATATATATTTTATGTATTTTAAATATATTTTTTTACAGTGTATGCTTAACGTGTGACACTATGATAAACTATATCTGGCTCTTTGTCATCGTATGCCGAGGACAATCAAATTCGGCTACGTCATTTGTGTAACCGTTTTACGACCTCGACGTCAACCAGTAAGGCACTGTTTAGCGGTCGAGTTACTGCCCAGACCACACACGGCTTGCGCGCTGCCCATGTTGACGTATTTATGTTGGTCCGATTCTGAAATTGCACCTGCTGGTTTCTTAGTGTAGATATTGACGTCATGGAGTGGCCATCGACAGCACCTAACCAGAATCCTATAGAACACAATGTCATATTGAATGCTCTTGGAAGAATTCTTCGTGCCGTGAGACGTCAACACCAGAATGTTCAAGAGCCGGGCACCATTTTGGTAATGGGTCAGGTTGCCTAATGATGTTCACGGGCATTATGCAGTCAATGAGATAACGTTGCCTTGCTGTTGTGAACAACTCCAGCAGAGATGACCCCATCGTGCCACTGTTGTTCACGGGGGGTGCTCAAAGCGCACCATAACGCACCATACGCTCATTACGTCCATAAACCGGATTTATCCACTAATAACAGTGTCACACTTTGTTCTGTATGGGTATGTTACTTAAAGTAACACATGCGAAGTTTCATATTTTAGTATATGCCCAGGTATTGTATGTTCTGAATGTGATGGTGGAATCATGCGCCCCTGAGTGACTTCTAGGCAGTTCAAACAGATCAAATATTTATATCCCTGGGTATACATTGTGGGAGGATATAGTCGAGGCCTCGTCTGTCTGTCCGTCCATCCGCCCGCCAGTGTTTTACATCTTGTCCAGGCAATATAGTGTGATTGACATCATGAGCATCTGGGACAAAATATACCTGCATAGGCATCTACCAATACAGCATGCCTGACCACCCAATCCTCACCTCATACAGCACCCATGGGCTGCTTTACTCGCGAACCCTTGCCATTTTTGTCTCGTATCGTTAATTGTTAGTGATTTCAATTTTCTTTGATCTAATTTAATAAATCTGTGATAATCTGGTAATTATACTGTCCTTCGTTGACAGGGTTTTATAAATTATTTACTTACCATGAATTTAGAACTGTAGAATATGGCTGAAATATTGCAGATGTGACTTAGAATCATCACTCACTCACTCACTCACTTTGACCCGAAGCTGGACTCGGCTACTTCAAATGTCATGCCACTATAATCATTACCACGTCGTTTGGATTTGAGTGACTTGTGTAATAGTCAAAGGAATCAACACTACTGATTGTGGTCACATAGTATCGTATAACCCCAGTCAGGTATCCATGCTGCTCACGGATGTGCAACAGATGTTCAATAATATTTGATCTCATCAAATCTAATGGCAATACGTGCAAACACTAAAACGACACAGTGGCTCCAACTTAACGTGTATTCATGCATGTAAAATCACCCAAAACAGGATACGACTAAAGTCTGCCGACAAAGAGGATGTATCTATACATGTCGGTAGGCTACCTTTAGCAGGAACTGCATGGGGGGTTACATTAGTGTTTTACGCAGGATCCAAGGACAGAGCTACGGAATTTCAAACGGAGCACCCTTAGTCAAAAAGGGGCATATATGATGTATTCTAGGCACGCCCATTCTACAAAATGCACCGTACAGTGCATGTTCTATTTTGTGAGTGAGTGAGGTTTAACGCCGCTTTTAGCAATATTCCAGCAATATCACGGCGGGGGACACCAGAAATGGGCTCCACACAGTGTACCCATGTGGGGAATCGAACCCGGGTCTTCGGCGTGACGAGCTTCTATTTTGTGGATGGATGCGACTGTTGAGCTGTGTATACTCGCAGAGTTGGAATCATGGATGTGTGCTGTATGTGAGGTTACGTGTAATTATTGGTCGTCTTGAAAAACCAGTAATTCCACCAGTAAGGTTTGACTATACACTGCAGATAGAGAATCTTTTTCATGTCTAATCGAACTCAAAAGTAATCGTTTATTGCGCCCACAGGACAACGTATATCATGGGCTCAACGTTCCGACAAACGACAACAAACGGAACAAGGAACAATCATGAATCCGGTTTTATTCATCACCTACATTGGCAAAACTTCCCGACCCATCAACACCCGAGTGAAAGAACATCAGACCTCTGTTACCAATTCCGACAACAAATCAGCCATTTCCGACCACATCAAAGCAAGCCCCAATCATCAAATAGAGTGGTCTGACATCACCATTCTCGCTAACAAACAAACAGACTTCACTAAACGCAAGCTCACCGAAGCCATCCACATCAAACGCCAAAAGCCCACCATCAACCGAGACCAAGGATACTTCATTCCATCCGCTTATGATGCACTCATCCACCAAGCCCAATCTACTGTATAAACTCTGCTGTATAAACATCTCATTATTATTTGTACATCATTGGCTTCCACGCCTGTCCTTTGTCTACTCTCTGGCTTCATCAACTTTCTGCCTAGCCAATTATGTTAATTATGTTGTTTTCTTTGTTACATTGTTACATCCGGTATATATACACTTCCCCCTTCTTCATGTTCCGTTATGCTTGACAACGGTACACGAATCTGTATCGAAACGTCGCACTCACGAATAAAAAGAAGTTGTTATCCATAAAGTTTGTTCTATATTGTACTTCCCAACTTCTAAAATGCCACTCAAAGAAGTTACCTAAGATACCTTACGTAATACTCAGAGTTCAGTAGTGTTTCCTAGTAGCTTGTTATTATACATTATTTGTTGTTCTGGGGAGATTGTTTTCATTAGCAGATAACTGTTTAGTGCGTAAATCACAAGTCATCGCCCTAGCCCTGTATTTAGTTGTCGTGATTATGGTTCAGCGTCCACTGACACAGTTCGCAGCACATAAGTTCGTATGTAAATTAAATAAGGGTCTGCCAGTCATAGTGTTCCAATACCAGATCATGACTGCGTCAACCCCTAAACGATAACTCTGTCTAACATTAACGACATGAATAAGCCCATTCCCTTTACCTTACAGAGAACCTTTCGTCAATTTCCGAGTTGAGTCATATTCAAAACAACGTATAAGGTTTCTAATGTCGTTCACATCATTGAGAGTATTATTCCACGGTAGCACATGTTCTTCGCGGAAGAACTGAATTTGTGTGACATTAGCCAATAAACATGTGCAATTCTTACTTTCCACTATGTTATTCCCTCAATTGCCATCATCGGAACACTGACAGCTTTTAACACTCTTCCATATAGAGTTGCATTTCGTGACAGGTGATGGATCGATGGATCAAATGTGTAGCATGTCAAATGTTACTCAAAGATATCTGGTTACATTAACCAGCAAACATATATGTACACGTGTCGTGTGAAGTTCCGGGTCACCTGAAGTCCGACATTCAATGGATATATTTCCATGTACAGATTTTATGGAAAACGGCGTTATACAGCGCTGCAGATTTCCAGATGAATTAAGAACTTTGTCTTCGTATGGTTCTTCAGTCCTTTTCTTACTTCATTCGACACATTCTCCTTGGATGATATGAAGCACATCTTCAACATACCTCAGTTCGACATCGTTTGATATATACAATTCTCTCGATACTGTCACGCTAATGTTTTGATTGCATACTCTTCAGTGGCACTATCCACTTTTGCCATGCCGTTCCCGAGCATGTAGCGAGTGTCAGTTTAAGTTGCACAGTCACTTGTAAACACATTTTAGAAGGGCTGTGAAGCAAGGTTTGATTCTGAAACAAATTGAGTCAACATCACAAAGAATTAGATACTTTCATGCCACACCGGGAAGTTTTAATAAAGACCGACCATTTGATTTTGAATGCAGTTTTTGTAAGAAATACATTTGGTTATTGTACGAATATTTTACCGAGATATATTGTACTAAACTGTGATTAAACATACTTTATAAAACTCCGAAAAAAACAACAACAAAAAACAAATCATGGTTGTTTAAAAAAAGGATGCGTAGAAGTAGAAACGGTTCAATCGTCTTGGAAGAAACACACCTCCTTGTCGTAGGTCCACGACTGTTGTCCAGGGCAGCCTTTCTTCAATACAAAGGTGCCATTCTCATGGCACATGTCGTGCATAGCCGAGCCCAGAGTCCGGTCTTCCTTCAGTTGCCACCACTGGAACAGTGACAGCTTTGAACACTCTTACATATAGGGTTGCCAGGTGATTCTCTCGATGAATCAAATGAGTAGCATGACAACAGTTACTCTTTTGTCAAATATATCTGGACTCCTTGGGGAAGTTGCATCCCCTCGTCATGAAGGGATATCCATTTAACGCTGCCATTACCACACGGTATGACAGCTGAATGAATATTATATCAATTAGCAGAGCAGAGAACTGATGTCGCGTACATTTCCGAGGATGTAAACGTATAGAGAACTGTAGAAAAATGTTCCATTTTTGTAGATTTCAAATTTGGCACAATGTAAGCTTAAGGCTAATGTACGGAGAATGTAACTCTGAGAATCAATCTGGTAAACACATTTTTACATTTGACTGAGTTTAGTTTTACGCCGCTTTTAGCAATATTCCAGCAACATCACCAGAAATGGGCTTCACACATTGTACCCATGTGGGGATTCGAACCCGGGTCTATGGCGTGACGAGCCAACGCTTTAACCACTAGGCTACCCCACCGCCCCTTCTGTTTTGAGAGTAACACGTAAATATCACGTATGACGGATGTGAGCAATGCGTTACCAGATCAGTTCCAGAACCTTATCTACAAACCTGATTCATACCCTGGCCGTGACAACCAAACACCCCCGGTTTCATCGACTCCCCCATGCTGTCCAGGCAAACAGGCTTCGCCATGTTACGTATCTACAACATATAGTCATCGACTGAGTGCGTGAAAGTGGTGTGAGTGAGTAAGTGAGTGAGTGAATGAGTATGGTTTTACGCCGCTTTTAGCAATATTATAGCTATATCACTGCGGGGGACACCGGAAGTGGGCTTTACACATTGTACCCATGTGGGGAATCGAACCCGGGTTTTCGATCTGACGAGCCATCGCCTAATCCACTAGGCTACACCACCGCTCCGCGTTCAAGAAGAAGGAGTGAATGAGTGGTTTGTTAGCTTTGAACAATATTTTACAGAGATTCCACTCTCCAGACACATGTGTCCACTACATAAAGAATGTACACAGTTACAAGTATGTTTAGCAAACATTGGTAAACAACTGAAATTTACGTGGTTTTAGTTATAACACTAGGGTACGCACTTCTCCAGCAGCTATGGATTTCACCGGCTCCGGAAACGGAAATACATTCCTCATATACCACCGGAAGTCGTGACAATGTAAACTTTCCCTAAGTCGCTTCCTGGCCGATATGTCTCCAAAGTCCTGATTCGAAAAATAATACAAGAACATTATATACTTTTAGGATATTCGTACCTATTCATCTCACGTGTACAGTTCTTTTTGTCTGATTTAATATAAAGTCCGGTACTATTACTTTCCCAATCGTGATATACTGCAAAACATATCAATAAAAGAATTCATGTGCAAGTTAGTCAGTGAGTAGTTCTCAAGTTGACTGATGAACTCATCTTTGTATCAGGCTAACATGAGCAACACGGGTCGTGGAGAGTGAGTGAGTGGGTTCAGTTTCACGCCGCTCTTAGCAATATTCCAGCAACATCACGGCGGGGCATACCAGAAATGGACTTCACACATTGTTCCCATGTGGGACATCGAACCCGGGTCTTCGGCGTGACGAGCGAACGCTTTAACCACCAGGCTATCCCACCGCTCCCGTGGAAAGTGATTGGATGTTTGACAAGCTTCACTCGTGAGAATATATAGGTATTGAATGAGTATGGTTCACATGATGTGCCCCCTTGACACTTGCCCTCTGTTAAAAATACCCAGTAGGATGAAATGAGTATGTGCACGCCTTCCAGCCACCTGTGCGTGAGTTATTGTTTTACGTCACATAGTGACGGGATCAATTTAAATATCATAAATATCTGTCACGAAGCAGCATACCACAAAATTCGAGTATAAAAAATAATCATGTCTAGTTCTAAAATATTCTACTCAAGACAAATCGATATGCAATTCAATAACATTAAAACACGAGCTATGTACCACCAGCAACTAAAGCTATCCACCTTACTGGGGATCATAGGGACTTACAGTACTTCAGCTTCCTGTATAGATCCCCAGCTGGATCTAAACCATAACATCAGACACGGGCAATTGTGCACAATGCTCGCCGTAAATTAAAACAATACAATTGAAGCAATAAAACTTCTACAGCCTACAATGTACTCAAATACTATTATGACTAACATCCTATCATCAGGAGAAAACATAGTTACATACTTATAAAAATTATAAATTGTATCAACCTCAGATAAAACATATTCATTCAAAAGCTTCAAACAATCCCATCTCTTTTGAAAAGTAGAATTTAGTGGACATTTAGGTAGTTAAAATTCCCTTAAATCTGAAACTTAGTAAGAAGTCAGCCACTCATGAATAATTATCGGTTGGGTACTTCGAAGGTGACCAGTCTAGTGGCCAGTGACTGAACAAACGAGCCACACTCCACGTACGACCGTCAACCTAACCAAATGATCTATGTAAGTCGCCTGTTATGAAACAGGAAGGTGCCTTAAGGTGAAAATAAAGAAATGTTAACTTCAAATGGATATTTTGCTACTTGTGGGAAGCAAGGTTTCTAAGTGTCTTAGAAAAAAACGTATGACGTACTGCTCGTTGGAAGGAGGCATCGTACATGTACTCCTTGTACTCGTCCATCCACACCTCCGCAACTCTCATGTAGTTCCTCTTGAGAACGTTGACGCCTGTGCTGCTCCATTTAATGGGGTTCTGATAACGGAAGATATGTCCAACTTGGGAACATGGAATTAGCTCGATGGTTCCATTACACATCCAGATCTGATCCAAGAGAGAACATCATAATATTTCACACTGTTGTCATGCTCATTTCTCAAAATGTCATGTTCAATGTCTTACGCAGATTCAATGATGCTTCAACCTATTTTAACATTTTTCAAACTATTATTTTCATATTTCGTCACGGTAAAAATATCAGAAGTAATAAATTATATAGACGTTTACATATCTGAGACACACGGCTACATGTTGCTGGCATTCAAAGCTTATGGGGATCCAGCGAGGGTATATACTTGGTAAATGGTGAAGGGAAAATTGCAACACTTATTATCAGCTGATTTTGAGATAGATCTTCAAGATGCCGCTAAAAGGATGCATCTTGTTCTGCATACATACAAACATGCATTTTATCCCTGTCTCCACGCTATGCACACAGTTATTCTACGAAAATGTAACAGTGGTTAACAAGATGCTAATGAGGGAACAAGAGCCACCAATGAGATGGTCATTATGTAATTTAGTTGGGAGAAGGGTCCTAAGAACAACAGAATGATGGACTAAAATGTGGGTTGCTTCAGTATCGAGTATGAGGTCTTGACGAAAGTCGTTTGTCTTAACCATATTCGCATTTGGATTTTCAAAGAGTTGACCTACAGGTACGGACAAAGGTTCAGAAGAGTCGCAAGGGAAATAAAGTCAGACAAGATGGTGTCAAATATCCTTTGTGTCCTACATTATACTGTTATATATTTAAAAGAGTACAAACTTAAAAAGAATGTAAGGCGACAGACGACTGGTTCAACAAGATGTGTACTTCGAGGATATTTCGAGTAATTTGAGAGCCAAGGTTACCTTGAATGAGAGTTCCATGTTTTCCCCTCCCCAGTACAGGAGTGCAGGGTCATAGGTGCCAAGTGTTGTGAAGTAATTCCTGTCAATGGCAAACAAACCTCCCGGCATAGTGGCTGACCTGTCACATTAAAGATACAGTAGTGACTGAGTGAGTAAGTTTAGTTTTACGCCGCACTCAGCAATATTCCAGCTGAATGGCGGCGGTCTGTGAATAATCGAGTCTGGCCCAGACAGGCAAGTGATCAACAGCATGAACATCGATCTATGCAATTGGGATACGATGACATGTGTCAACCTAGTCAGCGAGCCTGACCACCCGATCCCGTTAGTCGCCTCTTACGGCAAACATGGGTTACTGAAGATCAATCCCAACCCGGATCTTCACTGGTATAAAAGATACAGTAGATTAAACTATGAAACTATTTTTTTAAATCTTGTTAAGCCTGATTGTACAGCTGGATTCGTGTTAGATAATCGAAGCATGTCATATTGTGTATTGGATGTGTATGAGTGTATATACACATCCAATATATCTTCCACCACAAGGTTTGAGGTTCAGGATGTAAACACCCAGTCACAACTGCTCATGATACATTTTAATACTCAGGATATCAAACACATTTTGTCTATTTATTTCCCCATAGAATATGTACTACAACCGTATATACTACCTTATAGGATCAGCAGTGGACTTGCGCAGTTTCTCCACGCTCTCTGGGATGAAGATCCAGGTGAAAATAAGGTTCTGCCAGTTGAATACCCCTATCTGATTGTCCATAGAGGCGAAACTGCCAAAGTGGTCCTTGTCAATGTAGGGAATATGCGGGAAGGGAACGTTCTTCGGGTTCTCAGCGATGCGATCAAGCAGGGGTTCCAGCCAGCCTGCAATAGGGGGCACAGGCAGGTCTGATTAGCGGCATCCGTGTGGGTGTGGTGTCTAGTATGGACGTGCGACATCGATTATGACAAAACACAGGATATTGTTTAACGACGAGAAGAGTACGAAATTGCGGGACGCGTATGAGTAGACAGACATACTGTCTAAACCCCTCTTAACCTTGAATAGACAGCACATATAGAATGCATCAATCATTAAAAATACAAATCAGTACTTATAATATTAATTGTGTTGTGTTCAACATTTGAACCTTATTTACCTTTTACTCTTCATTTGATGATGTCAATTCGAGTAGATGTCCTCTGAATCATTGTTTTACAGGTCATCGAGAAAGTCTTTCAAGGAGACATTATACCTCTAAGTAAAATCGTTACCAATGCCCTCTGTGTAATCAAATCATTGTATGAAGCATGCCACAGATTGTTTGACGCATCATACGTCCATTAGATTGGTTGGTTGTTGTGTGGCCCCGCACTCAACAATATTCCAGTCATATGGCGGCGATCTGTAAATAATGGAGTCTGGACTAGACAATCCAGTGATCGCCATCATGAGCATCTGTCTACGCAACGACGTTAGTCGCCTCTTACGACAAGCATGGGTTGCTGAAGACCAAGTCTAATCCAGACCTTCAAGGGTAACTTCCATTAGACCAAGTGAGGACATCAATAGGTGCCTTGTGGAAACAAATGGCTTCGACGAGTCAACTACAAGTGCAGCCTATTGACCAGATTCTATATATTCAAATACCCCGGACGGATCTCTGATGTCCAGTTTGACTTTTTTTCAGGGAAACGTTCATGGTCACCGTCTATTTGAATTTTATATATGTGATATTGCCTGTTGGTTTGGTTTATGTGATACACACATATATAGAGGTCACAGATACGATCGTTTCTGTGAATACGTCATATCATAGTACGGTGTGGAAATGTGGAGTTACTCGCCGATCTGGAGACGTGCTGAGGTGCTTGAACTCAGAGTAAGTTGTTGTTTTGATTACGTTGCCAAGGAATGAAAAATAATAAGTTTGTAAACATATATTACTCAAATCCATGCTCCAATGAGTTTTTTTAGAGGTACGATTACTAAAGCATTTTTCTTAAATAAATACTGCCCATGATATACTCATAGGTTTAAGTAGTAGTACCTGGGAAGCACTCTACATGCGAGTCTAGGAAGACTAGGACAGGACCCCTGGCGATCTCATACCCCATCAGTCGGGCTCGGGTCAGACCCTCCCGTTTGGTTGTCCTCAGAATCTTCACCAGAGGATAATCCGACATATATCTTTCCAGGGGACCTTTAAGATAATCTGCAGGAGGCATGAAACAACAATATTCAAAGAGTAAATATATTGTTTTTATTTAGATGTCTTTTTATATTTTTATTTTTATTTTATGAAGGTACATTCATTTGCAAAACTGGATTACGAACATTAATCTAAATGACTGACTGACTGACTGGCTGAGTTTGGTTTTACGCCGCTTTTAGCAATATTCCAGCAACATCACGGCGGGGGACACCAGAAATGAGCTTAACACATTGTACCCATGTAGGGATTCGAACCCGGGTCTTCGGCGTGACGAGCCAACGCTTTGACCACTAGGCTACCCCACCGCCCCTAATCTAAATGAAGGCTGTGGTGTGTCAGATCTGCTGATTGTTAGGGAGCGAACTATGTCTAAATAACTTTGCGAGTGTGAATAAAATGGGTTGAGGCGTTCTGTATGAACGTATGAATACAGTTTCAAACGTCTTTCGTGTACCATTTCTTTCGGATAGTATATATACTGAGGGACAAAAATAAGGGATCACGTGAAAGCACAAGTGTTTATTATGTTCCAGGTTTCTTCACAAGCTTTGTATCGCATAGCTTGTGACGAAACCTGGAAACAAATAAAGGAACACTTGTGCTTTCATGTGATCCCTTATTTTTTCCCATCAGTATATATTTATATTTCTCAATCATCAGTCAGCAGGTTACATTGTCAGTATCATGTCGTCATCTATCTCCCTCTCAGATCACATGTGCACTCCCTAATTATGCCTATAAACGGCATGTTCAACATCGTTCCACGTAACGGTTAAATGCTCCCTGGTAAGAAGAATTTGAAAAATTGCATTGATTGTTTGTTGTTTGACGCGGCCCTCAGTAATATTCCATCTATATCTATTTGAGGAATTGCGAAACTAAAACAATAGATATAAGTAGTTGTGTATCTCCTGTCATTGGTTCTTGTAGACAGATCTCGAAGGTCGTTGTTTGGTTACAAGCCTGCATATGGTTTAAGTTCCTTGATATGTTAGGACGCTGACCTTCATCACAATACTTGGCATACTGTACAAACTTAAGTTGTGTAGTTTCTGGATGTAAAGCTTCCACCCCAAAACAAAAATAGCTGGTGCGTTTTGATCTGCATCGCTTTATGGACTTGTCGTAGAGAGGTCATCGGTCAGCACAAAATGGTAATAATTCGTCAAATATTAGCCATAACACAATTGTGCGGCTTTCGAATGAGAATTTCTGCTTGACGTTATTTTTGCGAAAAAGGATGGTTATGTACCACCCCTTTCATATTCCAAATCTGAACTGCTTCACTGTACCAAAACTTGCCGCAGGTGTCTACAAATAGGTATCGCGATCAGTCTGTCACCATACCTCGATGAAATATTCATACTGCTCTTAATACTATACTTATCGATATGTCGATACTTGGTCGAATACTGGAGGGTGAGGTGATAGTGTTGGAATTTTGCTGATCGTTGTGTGAAGCAACATATATTTCTTTCTGAATTGCATATTCGCAAGATGCAACTGCCTCCTGATTACTGCAATATAGGACGTCATTGCTTGTGTTGTTGATGACAGACGTGTGGTCAATTGTCACTATACAGAAACATAGATTTGACTTGCTAAGACTATCACTCCGCAATGTCTCGTGATACTTATATGCATAAAAATATAGTCTCACCAGATGAAGAGAAATCATCTACGAGGATAATCTCCCGCAGCAGATGTGATGGTGATCTGTCCAGGATACTGTGGACTGTCCGAAGCAGCACCGACCATGCCTCGTCTTTGAAGCAAATGATGACGCTCGCCATGGACAGGTTTGGGCGGAATGTTTGAGCCTTACATCTTACAACAAAGACAACTAATACAGATATACATATATCAATCACATTGCAAAACGTTGCTCTGTCATCTATACTAATGTATATACAAATTCACAGAACAAAATAAACCATATGAAGAAAATGTTTTTGCTCCCGTCAGAATAAATGTATTACGCACACAGGATATGACCTTGCAGATAAAAATAAGCTGGAAGCCACACTACATAACCCCAGTGCAACATTCAGAACATTGATTGTCACAGTAGATACGTACTCTTGTGACCTTGTGTCCCGCAGACGTCGGTGTACGGAGATTCTGTCACTGACGTAGACGTTGAAGTAATGCACACGGAACATTTTGTCCATTACTTTCTTCTCTGTGGTGTTAAGTTTAGGAATGTAAGGCACACCAAATTCTCCTGCAACAACGTAGGTGTGGAAACATCATTTTCAGTTACGTGCAGCAATCGCAACATCTTTTGATAACCTTTCATCATCTCGTAAACATGATGCGGTCATGAAAACAAGACAAAGATATTTATAATTGGTTCGCAAAAAATGACCAAAGGAAAGCAACGGCCATTATCCATTATTGAAATCCTAACAGTGACGTCATATTGTGACTTCATGTCATTACCACTGGCAGATGGCATGCTCATTTCCATGCATGTCAGCATATTCTACTGCGAGTCACGTCTAACGTCCCTGTACGAGCTACACAAGAGTTTAGTATGATGGAAATATTTATTATTGATAAGAATTAATTCTGTCTCTTTATACTGTAATACAATAACCGCGTCCCCAATGCCTGGACATCTGCGGAATCAGCTCAGCTTCACTTGATAATTACGTATATCATGCCCATACCGATAACAATAATACTTACCCGGACCATTTTCGGGGCTGTCTTTAACAAACTGTGGATATGGTATGTCCGAGACTTGTTTATGGCGGAGTCTCTCACTGTCTACCTCCTTGTCACTTGGCAACTGTACCTGAACACGTTCCAGGTCATGTTGGGACCCATCCTTCCTTGCAAGAGCCTTATCTTTTATTTGGTTCAGTAGGGATATGTGATCTACACTTTGCTGAACCTTATCTTTCGTGTTATTCCAATCCCCGGCAAATCCTGGTCCATTATATCCAGATTCGTTTGAATCTCTCAATGCCACACCATAACGGGCAAATGTGACACCATTGCTCTCTACCAGTCCATTGTCGTATTTCTGATTGATGGTTTCATTATCAAGCGCTACATCAACTAATGTTGCAATAAGCAAATATGCGGTAATACCCATGCAAAGAAGTGAAAAGCGAAACATTAAGCGAAAATATTTCCTCATGTTTAGTAGTACTATAACACACGGGGTTTGGATATGCAATTAATCCACTCGGACTCAGGTCTGAAAAGGAGAAAAGAAAGGTATTAGGTTTAGTTCGTGAGCTCATGTTTCGACATTGTGACGTTTTTACGGATATTGTGACGATTGCGAAAATGTACTCTTAGTTTTAATTCAGGACTGACCACATTTCAACACTGAAGTATGACAGGGCGATGTAAGAACCTACAGGAATCAACGGCCAAGTGTTGCCTTACTCTGTACTTGCTCTCATTGCAATAACGAAGTTGACTACCCATCGAACTTGGTTTTCCTTCACCTATACAACTTCTAAAATGCCTCTCAAAGAAGTTAGGTACTGTCACTCCCCATGGTTCCTAGTATGGTGATCTACCTTCAGTTGTTGGCAATCTGGCAATAGTTTTTATTTGTATTGTCATGTATACTTAAAATATTTTAGATTTAATTACTAGTTTTATATTTATATCTGTGATAATCCAGTTGTTTTACTGCCCTTCGTTGACAGAATTTTATAATTTAAATTTAATTGCTCATATATTTTAAGTTGATTTAGTCACGATATGGCTGAAATATTGCCGATGTGACTTTAAATCTTAACTCACTCACTCAAAGAAGTTAGTCTGTATTGACACTTGCATCTCACCACAGGACTGAATGGAGATGAAAACTCAACTATAAAATTAAATATAATAATTATAAATATTAAATATTATATTATAAACGAGGAAGGGCGTGAAGACGAACCACATACATCAAATGTTTTATGATCGGCGAAGAAATAATCTCACGTTGATACGTTGAGATTCTATCACATTGTCAATGATAAATAACCCGGAAATCAGGCTAGAGAAGCTGGATTTGAAAGGAGCTTTGGTAAATATAAATATTTATCCTATTTATGTGACGATATGAAATAGGTGTTAACACAAAAAACACAGCCAGCCTCCAATTGTTTCAGATTATCTCGATGTGTGTGTGAAACACTGAACATTAAAACCAGCACACAACCAGGATTCGAAATAAACCTACATTCATACTGACATCAATAAAATTTGATAATGAATAATTATTTGTTTATGAAACATTAATAATTATTATGTATATAACTTCGTATTTCTTCATACCTGATGCATGTTCATATCCTCTACAGTGCATAATCCATGTATCTGAATAGATGCTTCACTTACAGAGCAAGAATTGGAATGATTATATTTTCAATAAACACGTCTGTTTGCATAAGGCAACACTTACAGCAGTTTGGTTTGAGGGTAACAGGTTGTTGCAGACCAGGTAGAAGTCAATTAAAGGCCACACATGTGTCACGGACAACGTCATTCTGTTGCGTATGTACAACGTGACCAATCAGGAGTATCGGTTTCGTGTAATCGATAATTGACCCTCAGTGTTAGGGAAATGTGCAGGGGCGTTCATTACAGGGATCGTTAGTCGTGTTTTCTGACACATCTATTCTTCTACTAGCAGCAGGTGGTTTCTATCAATGTATTAAACCCACATTTAACGCGATCATTTTAGATCGAAGAATATACATGCGTAATCAAATATATATTATAGACCGATTATAGAGGATAAAGGCAAGCATTTATGGATATCAGCATCTTCATTTTGAGGAAAACGACGTTTCGGGGTATATTTTGTTATATATTAATGAAAAACCGATGAAACAGATAACTTTATAAGTACATGTGAAATAACAACAGTGATAACATAGCGAAGGAAGCCAGTAGTTAAATGGCGCCGATTGTATCACCTCTAAATGATAGAGAATGTATCTGTGGGCTTGAACAGGATATCCGTATGTTTACATTCCCTTTGTTCACGTACTGTTTTTTTTCTATACTACTTAGTAGCATTATGCCATGACATCCTGGCAAGTCCCATCTACAGGAGCCTGTTATACCATTAAGCATTTTAACCTAAATACTAAACTCAGATATTTTATGTTGATACCGAATCCAACTCTTGTTGTATTCCCTAAATCCGAGTGCCAGACAAGGTAATCAAAGTACCATGTTATAAAGTTGCCTTCTCACGGTACGATTTGTAGTAACAGCTTGCATCACGCAACACAGTTGCAACGTGAGAACACTCAAATCGTAACGATGTGAAATCGCCTACAACTAGTCGCAGCTGAGCTGTAAAACATAGGATTTGTCGCAAGCTATCGACTACTGAAATCGCGGAAACACGACTGAAAAAAATCGACCTTACCCGAGAGAAAACCGATCGATGTATAGGTGTGTAGTTGTTACAGAGATGTTGATGGAATGCAGAACGAGCCACCTACCCCTATACGTTCCAGCCGTGCTCCGACTAAGAATCTAGTTGCGGACCCAAACCGATAAAGGCCTTCTCCCCATCTTTATTATAGTCCGTTTAATTTCATTTTAGACCGATGAATTTCTTACTACCACAAAATCTAATAATTGCAGCAAAACCAAATTTTGCACAATAGGGAACACTTGGTGGTAGAACAGCCAGGTGTACGAGTTGCACGTGTGAAATTGAAATTTCACTTCAAACGATTGTTGATTACATGGCTGTTCTACCAGAAAGGCTTGGTGGTCCCCACTCGTAATAAATAACCAAAAGTGAAAACAAAATAATGATCGTGTGTTAAACAACATTTTTTTTCGGGTGTCAAAAATTATGAGACAAATCATCAGAGTTGGTCTGTCGATTTCATGTTACTGTGCAAAATTTGGTTTTGTTGCAATTATTAGATTTTGTGTTAGTGAGCAATTCATCGGTCTCAAATGAAATCAAACGGACTGTAGTGACTGCGACTGGCATTAAGGCTAGCCTGTCTTCTTCACTCGACGAATCCATACGTGAGAATCACATGAGAACAAATTGTATGCGACTCGAGACGTACACAGCTAACAAAGTCATAATAATCCTTGTTGTTGCTACAAGTCGCACAGTGAGAACGCACCTTCAAGTATTTTGAAATGATACAACCACAAGATCCATCCGTCCACCTTCCGCTGCACGGGTAGATGTGGTTTCACTAAACACCATATATGCTCAATAATAAAAACGTACTGACATTATCATTACATGTATGACATTAATGCATAATTGTATAATGTATATATTCACGTTTCCTAAAATACAATTCTCCCGTATGCATTCAGCACAACTATCTAGCTGATTTCTGATATCACCCATTCACAAATATCACAAGTATATCACTAATTACTCTCGTCCTTCAGCTTTTTATTTCAGATGCATCATCAGCTGAAGGTTAACGTTTAATTATGAAGGGCGAACCTGTTCACTGACATGGTTTAACGCTCACTGAGATGGTTTAACGCTCACTGATATAGTTTAACGCTCATGGTTTAATTAACGAGTTCACCCCTTACTGAATTTACTTTGCAAAAGGACTGCTTATTTGTGAACACGTTTCACAGAGAGTATGAATACTCATTTTTCAATTTTACCTGATATACAGAAGGTCGGGTTTTTTTTAATTATGTGTTTTAACTTTGCCAAAACCCTTTAATATATTCTATCCGGACGTCATACCTTTTGTATCATTGATGGGATTTTATATATTCTGTGCCTCATACCTGGTGTTATACTTGCATATTGTAAAGATATATGTTTGTACTTTGATGTGAAGAAAGGTATTATTACAAAACGTATGTAACAGATATAGTCTCCCATACGTCTACAAGAATGGCTTGTGTGCATATGTACATGTTCTTAGTTGCTCATAAAATCGCTGTACATAAGGTGAGACTTAAAGCAACTATCTGTCTATCTGTCTGTATCTATCTCAGTTAGTCCAGATCAATGTAATAAAGGGGATTTCTTCTTAAGATAAACTGAATCGTGTAAGGGCAGGCAGGCGATGTATGTATTTATGACACAAAGCATTAAGAAAACAACTGGCAGGCCAGTTTGAATGACAACGAGAATGTCAATTTCTCAATCAACTTTTGATTGTCAATGACACATGTGAAAGCCTCCATCAATATACCGATTATATGACGCCATATGTTTGCATGTAGATAAAAGAAGAAATAACTAGATTCCAATTCAATCAAGCCTCTATGAAAAATATATAGACAAGGTAACCACTCTGTAACGATGTAGATTAAAAGTTAATGGTGTACCGGAGCTCAAAGTAGGACATCGACAAAAGGAAAAACAGATGTACAGCAACATCCGGCACTGTGACCAAAAATTGATAATTTAGCATTTATGTCGAGAATAACCAGCTTTCTGCCAAGAACTGCTCAGCTGAATATATAGTAAGGACACAC